CACACGCATGTCATGTAGATATAACGTTCTTATTACACAGTTCCTCATACATATGTGATATAACCCTGTCCAGTCCTCTCTTATGGCTCGACAGAGCGCTGCAGGCCTTCGCCTACCAGCGGTGACCCAGCCTCTCGACACTGGGATAAGGGGTTCGTGTGGTTAGCACGAAGACATCCCTTCACCGTATATTCTGGACTTCATAACCTTAGGGTGTGCTTTCTCATCGTCATATAGCAATAGATACTGGTACATTTGTGAGGAAAGCGCGCAGTTATTATTTTGGACTGCCCGGGAATCAAATCCGGCGTGGCGCCGTCAAAACAGAGAAACGCCAACCAACGAGCCACGAGGGCTGATGTAACTCTACTTTTACAAAAACCTAATAAAACACCTAAAATACCGGTATTATGCTATTAATTATATTCTCATTTCGGTTCTATAAATTGTACGTACATCTATCTGAAGTACCCCGCGCTGCTCGAGTATTTATCATATGTAATAACACGAGTGCGTTGGAATTTATCTGATGTTTCCCAAGCACGAGTGGTAATTAATAGGACTATTCCACAAGTCAAATTATTTCCAAGAGAAGTACCAAATACGCCAAATATTGAAAATAACTGAAAGCTTTGTTAAAATCCAAGAGAGGTCCATACGCTGTTTACCGATGTGGCAACCGTGAGACCCTTCGGGGAGGGAGGCGTTGGTTTGAGGGCTGTCTCCGGGACGGGAGGCTGCGGCCGCCGCAGCCTTCCTGAATGCCTCGTTAGGGGCCGCTGTACTTTTCAGCGCAAAAACTCACGGGTTATCTTCCCCCTACAATTATTGCAACTGAACAACTGAAAAAATAACAAAGCAAGAATGAGTGTTTATTGGGGGATCCGTATTTAGACCACATGTTTAAACTGAACCTGTTATTTCGGAAAAGACGCAAGTCAAAGAAAGTCATGAATGATGCACGAACCAACGTTGAAATCCCAGAATTTTAGCTAAATGGCCAATACTCGCATATGTAAATTGTGATGTGTTAACTTTTGGGGACCATCACAGATGGCAAGAAAGACATTAAATACTTAAGTTTTGTGCATTAAATGTTTAGAGAAAAAGAACCGTATTTTGCCAGGGACAAAGTCACAGCGATTATTAAGAATAATAAATAAAAGAAACCAAAGTAGGAGGCGACGAATGCGAAAAAAAATCAAGTATATTGGTGTTCTCAGGACACAATGAATAATTTCTGTTCGTATTCAATTAATAATACGTATCAAATACACGGGATTTTTGTTAGGGAAACATTGTTACGGGAAACAATGTAGGAAATGCATTGAGAGGAGAGCCAATGGAAGGAGAACAAATGAAAAGTGAGCGCAAGAAGCATCAATCAAGAACAGAAGATTTTAAGGACTTCTTGTGACCGAGAAGAAGACAGTTGAAGGGAGTTTTATGATTGAACGGCAGGAGAACGAAGGTAGCCACGGGACAGAGAGGAAGTTGATGATGGCGCGTGTTGTTAAATATTGGAAAAGGAGCGGACAGTGGTTAGCAATGTGTAGAGTATGTTTTGCAGAATGACTTTTATTTAGAAAGTTTAAATTGGACGAGCGAAACGCACTATATCGTAAGAAGTTAATATGGAAATGGAATTATATCAGCAGTTACAATGACCAAGCTTGCTGTTATCTTCAAAAAGGAAGTGAATAGACATTATTTGCGTCATAATTGTGAGAATACGAAGTCATGTGCCAAAGAGGCATTTATGACATATTATTTAGTCCATTTAGCATTGACCTGTTCTATTGCTCGACAGCCCAGTACGGGCTTTGGCCGACTAGCGATGACCCAGACTCTCGGCCAAGGGATACGGGGTTCGTGTGGTTGGCACGAAGACATTCCTCCGCCGTATATACTGGTCTTCATACCTACAGGTTGGGCTTCTCATCGTCGCACAGCAATAGATACTGGGACATTTGTAAGGAAAGCGCACAGATATTATTTTGGCCCGACCAAGAATCAAACCTGGGGTCGCGCCGTGGAAGGCGAGCATGCTAACCAACGGGCCAATAATTAACAAAAACAGTAACAAAATTATAAGAAAAATTTTGAAGAAGTTATCGAGAAAATTGGGTTTGAGCGTTTCCGAAAATGAAGAATTTCGAGCTTATTTTCGCAGAAAACTTTTTCAATTTTGAAGAAACTTCGTAAAACATTATTTGAAGCACTTGTACACAAAAATCAGTAAGTCTTCGAACCGACGACAATGTAAATATTAACGTCGAGAGCTATAACATAAAAATTACATTTGTGTGATTTTTGAAACAATAAAAGAATGCAGCAAAATACATTATCGTATTCGTACTAGAATAGAGAGAGAATAGTTTTGTATTCGTACTAGAATACGACTGTATTTACAAGAATACGGCGTTTACATCATCTCTTACAGTGCAATTATCACTGTCACGATATTAAAGAATAAGTTGAAGCAGTTGTTGAGAAAATTTTCTTTAAATATTTTTTAATATTATTCATATATCACTGAAAATTGCACGAAAACTACTAAAATTTTAAAAGTATGACCATGAAAATGAAGTAGTAGTAATTATAGAGAACAAATTTCATTTGAAAAAATCACTGTCTTCAATATTGTAGTTATTGGAATACACAAACAATTTTCAAACTTTCGTAATTTCCGAAAATGCAGAGTTAAAGTGAAAAAAGCACATATACCAACTTTATAAGTGTATTTCACTCTGTTCTTACAAGAAATAAGAAAACTACAATTTTACGGAAACAACACATAAACCAATTTAAATCGCTTTCTTTATTCATATTGTTCTTCCATGAGACTAACTACGGTACACTAATCAACCCAACGAGATATGAGTAGAATATACGAGATAGAGTAGCTGTCCCTATAGTTTCAGCGCTCTTGGTGGAGGCTCGCTGAACTAGGTGTCGCCATGTTTTTTGAAGTCAAAACATGAGTGGCAGTGTAACCATCCGTAACCAGCGCCAAACGTAATGCTATACTGCGATTTTGACAACTCTGCTCTTCGCAGGTATTAGCTGTTGGCAGTTTCATCCAATCGGAAACTTAAACGTCACCATTATGACGTCACTATTGTGAAGTTCAAGCTCCCGATTAGATAAAACCGTGAACAGCTGATATCTGCCAGAGGCAAAGTTGCATAAATCGCAGTAGATAATACTTTGTTTCACAGAGGAGGCTGCTTTGACTGCAAAACACATGACTTCAATTTGCTTCAAAGATGGAGGCACTTCAGCCCCTCTCTGTAGTACATTCTAGCTCGTTGGATCAATCCATAACTCTCCTAACCTACATACATGAAAATTCAGGTATTACTCGCGCAACTTTTCTTGAACGATGACCTTGCTTCCCCCTCTCTGGCACAATAAACAGATAAAAGCAAAAGCTCGCAGTGAGCACTGATGACAACATTCGAAACACATCTTCACGAGCTACTTCACGAACACTTCTAACAAGTTCCAGAAAATTTTGAAACAACTTTCTTATAGCGTTCATATAATTATTTTATCGATATTTCTTTGGAGAGCTTTGCCTAGTAATTAATTCATTTTCCACCTATCCTTTCTATGCCAAATAGGATAATGTCACAAAGTGCAATGTATTTATTATTGCTGGGTAGGAATTACTCATCAGTCCTGCGTCAAAAAGATATAAGACGAAAACCACTGAAGTTTCAAGATTATGGTACGCCTTTGAAATCAGGCGCTCATGCAACCCGCGATACCCACTACCTGCAACGCAGATCCCCATCGGGAACGACGCGTTCAAGGGACTTCAAACCGCCTTTCCGTGCTCTTGTAAAGGGCACAAATTATGTCATCTATTGCGTAATCTACACAATGAGAATTAGTCGATATTCTATTACATTTTAAAGGTTTCGTCACTCGCAGGTCAAGAAATATTTCAAGTTGGATTCCTGTATGATTTTATTGATTGATTTCCTTCTGTTTTCAGGCGCGACAACTGCTAAGGCCATTATTCCCGCAAGTGTAGTGCATGTTTTATCGCAAGAGGTAACGATAATCATCTCACGCTGTATTACGAGATCCAGCATTGACCAACACATCGGCTTGCGGTATTTTCCCCAACCAGGTATCTCCTTCCAGCAGGGCATCGCCCTAGTCGGGTCGAGCTCTAAGCTCCCGACCGGTCTCCCGACGTGTGTGGTAGTGTAGTGCATGTTAGTAGTAGTGTGTGCAAGTAAGAAATAAGGCTAGGACAAGAGGGAGGAAAGATGGCGCGTGGTCCGTTTGTTAGGGTACTATTCCGGCAGTCAAAGTTGATCAGAGAAACCGCGGAAAACTACCAATTACAGCAGCCGGCGGCTTGAATTCTCCTCGAGGCTGTAGGTGAATTCTATCGTACCCAGCTCTCTGGCTCGCGTCGAAAATGCTGCAGTCGTCGGCTCTCGAATCCTATAACCTGCCGGTCAACCGCATTGCAGTGACATCAGTTGATGCCCTGAACCACCTAAGCGGATCCAGTGCGAAACTATTTGCAATTTGATGCAATTTTTTGTGAAAAAAATATTTAGGTCTTTTCTACTATATTTTTGGGTTTTGTGCCCTTCCAGGAAATCAGAACTCTCATTTCCACCGCCTTGGTAGCCACAGCACTATCCGCTGCCGTGACTTTTATGAAAGTATTTTTTAATAAAACATTTAAATTAAGTTTGGATTTCCAGCTTCATTTCCAATATAACAAGTGCAGGAACATGTAAACATCATATGGAGAGTAGAGGAGGAGCATGTGTGGAGAGCATGCGGAGGGAAGTGCAGTGGAACAAGCGCTTCACACCATAGAGGGCTCTCTGGGGAACACGGGGAAACATGCAATTGTACTTATGGGAACGCACCTGGAGAACGGGGAGGGGGAGTGCTGGGAACATGGCGAGCACGTGCCGGGAACGTGCGGTGAAATATGCGTAGAACGAGCTGGGAAATTGGGCAATTTAGTTCTCTTGGGTAACCACATTCCGCAGCGTGTGCGGGTGGTCAGAACCTGGTAGCATCTAAAAATCTACGTAAAATAAATCGACACCCGTCATGACAGGCCTATAATGATTTCACTTGCTATTCAGGGACTGGCCGGAAGTGTTTTAGGTTGTGCGGAATGTTCGCATGAGTCCGTCTAGTCTGATTATATTTGAAGTCTTCAATTTAACTTCGTTTTCTTTTTATATTTTATCTATACTTTGCATCTATAAATACATATGTATATGTTGCACAGTGTGTATACTCAGTTTTACATTAAATGTTGTGATTCATCATTGTTGTACACGGGGATTGCTTCTTCCCATCCTTCCCAATAAATATATAGACAGGACCTATTTGTATTTCCCCAAATTTGTAATTTCAACTTAAAACAAGCACTGTGTAGACTGTTCAATTGAAATGCTAGTGATAGACGGATATGATAACGGCACCTCTAAATTTGTCAATGGAAGGTGTTATATACGACGTTTTTTTACTCTTCTTTAATATTTTTCAAAGTAATATTTCGGTTCTACTCTTAGGAAACATAGAACTTGAGAAATTTTCAAAAACAAAAACAAAAATGTACTTTGGCCGGAAATAGATGGCAGCGACCAAGAATGTGTAGCAAGTCCGAATAGCTAGGCCAGACCAAAGAAAATAGAAAAAGAATTCGAGAAAGTTTGTGACATTTAAATTTTTTATTAAGTTTCCATAAAACTAAACCCTTTCTCTTTTCTGTGAAAATCAAAATTGAACATTTTCAGAAATGCTAAAAAAACGTTTTCTCGATTGCAATTTTTCCTTACAATTTTCCTATTGACAGTACTAAATGCAGTAAATAACATGAGATCAAATTCACTTCTATTCTTGTTTCTTTCTTCAAAAATTGGACAAAGTCAATTTCTATGAGATATTTCTCCCGTCGTTAAAATTTACATTCACGCATTTCTTATACATTATCGCATACGTGAGTGCGATTGTTTCAAATACATTATCGTAAACATTCTTGAAAATTAGAAAGTTTTGAACGAAAATTAAATTTAAAATATTAATTTTTAGAAACAGCATTCGCTTAAATGGCTCCAAAGTTTTCAGTGCAAAAGTGCATATAGGACAGGATTTTGCCCTTCTATAATATTTTTAAACTAAATTTTAAATTCTACCATTAGAGATCCCAAAAATTAAGAAAACGTGAAAAAATGTATTTTATGTGCCAATAGAAGGCAGCTGAGAAATGGGTGGAAAAAAAACAAAAAATCGTCCAGACTATTGAAATAAGGGAACTAACTAGTTCGAGAAAGTCTGTGCCGTTCTGTAACGCCACTAGTTTCTTTCTAATAGAAAGACCAAATCCGATCGCAATTCAATGCAAGCATTCTTTCCTCTCGTCTAACATCGCCCCTCCTAAATTAACCCTGAACCTATCCTCCCAATTACATGCTCATTCCACGTTGTTCAGATGGATGAACAATTCATCAGTTGGAACTTTGTGATAATCTCATTTTGAAAATGTTTCCATGTGTGTTTAAATGTGAATGAAAATGTTATTCTCTTACGTTTGCTTGGTTAAATGTTTGAAAATGTTCCTGCAATAATATTATCTTCTTTCATCACCACAAAATTCCCACTGTGTATACCGCAAAGTGCTAATTTATACTGAAGTGCCTTAATCAAGGTGAATATCTACCAGCCAATCTGATAAATGATACGGGTAATTGAGATTTTTCTGTGTAATTTAAAGGAGCTAAAACAATTCTTCGCAAATATGTAAGCACCCCTAAAAGTTCCCACTAATTAATAAAGAACAACAATCAACAGGTGCAATTCAAGTTACAGAACTTCCTTTGTTTACCCTGAGTGTCAGAGGGTATCGAAAGCTTTAGCTATATCTAGAAAAACTGATGAGGTATGCTTGTGGTCATGGAATCCTTCGATGATATCTTCAGTTAGGCGTAATATTTGATACGTAGACAAAAAGTGTTGGAATCCAAACTGATGAGGTGGTATGGCATTTACTGAGCTGAAGTAAGAATTAAGCCTAGAGAGTATACATTTTTCCCATTGTGGGTAGCAAACTAATAGGCCGTTCGCTAGTTGCATTGTTTTCAGGATTCCTAGCTTGAGAATGGGAATAGTGTGGGCGTGTTTCCATATTTACATCCAGGGAAATACGTTTATCTCAAAGCGGCACTAAATATTGCTGTAATATGTACCGTTACGGTTAATTAAGGCGTTTTCATTACAAAGTTGATATAGATCATGGCCATTTGATAATTTGGGGGTTGTTCGTGAAAGATATTTGATAATTTCTGATGGTAAAATAAAGGCAGGCCAGTCGCGAGCCAGTCGCCAGCCAGCCGCCGCCCCGAACACTGCGCCCGCAACCCTGCCGCCACTGAGGATGTCCACCGCAGACGTGGACGAAACGATTGGCCCAACAATGCCAACTACCACGGCCTACCAGCTCGGAAAATCTACCTTCTATTGACTCCGTCCGTGAAAGCCTACGATACTATATATAAATTCAATGATTTATTACATCAATGTAGCTACGTGTCTCTTCGTTATTTTATTACATATCTGTAACAATATATCTGCAATTAATATTTCTTATATTTTCTTATTTTTCTTGCCAAACTATTTACAATTAACATTTAGATATCCAAAACTGTACGGCTAGTAACATGGTTAGCCGGAAGAACGCCGTATGTTCTAAGCCTCGTCAACAACAAATATTAAGTTATTAATTGATTGATTATTATTATTAGTTTATTATTTATTACTTAATTGATTATTATTGATTATTAATTATTATGTATTATTATTACTTATTATTTTACTATTGTTGTTGTTGATGATGTTGCAATAATAAAATAATACGAAGACGTAATGAAGTAGTTTTAAGGTTGTCTATTGGTCCTTTCAAAGATAACATTGGAGAAAAGTTTCTCAGCGCTTCCTAATCCATATGCCTTATATTTTTACCTCCCAACATCAAATTTGCTTTCATTTCTTCGCAGTTCATCAGGTAGATTTGTCCAATCGATGAACAAACAAACAGTCCGTATTCTGTACTTACGTTGTGTCAACAGTGAGAAATGTTATTCATTCGCTTATTGACAGTAAACTGAAACTTCACGTATACGGAATTTCCAACGTCACTGAAAGTAAGCATTATCAGGATTGTTATCTTACATTGCAGCTCTACATTTTTTTAATTCTAAAAAATTCATGTTATAAAAATGGAGTTCAAATTTCATATCTCAATGAAATCTATATTTTTAAACGCTCGGTGAATTTTGCTTACAATTTCTAAAAAAAAATTCCCTTGAGCTGTCCTTTTACTATTATTATTATTATTATTATTATTATTATTATTATTATTATTATTATTATTATTAAACAATCTGTCTCTATTTCTGTGACAAATTTAAAGTCCAAGTCACGATTCTATGACGTTGACTATTAGCCAAGTACTTGGCGTAGAACATGTTTGGTTTTAGGTCTCCACACGTCGCTCCCTGAACTCACGTTCCCTCATTGCTCAACAATTTCACGAAATACGAACTCTAAGATATCGACAATTGTGTTTCCAGTGATGCCACAGCCGCCTGACAGCACTGAAGATGGGGACGACGCGCGTGACACGGGGTTCGGACAGGCGCAAACAGAAGGCGTTCGCGCGGAGACGCGGACAATGTGCCGCCCTCGCGAGAGGGCAAAGGGCGCGCGGGGGCGGACACCCGTCCACGCCCACGGCGAATGCAAGGCGATGCAGTCGTGTCCGCAGAGCAGATAAAGCCAGACCCTCACACGGACCAACACACTTTACATTTGTCTTGATTATCTCAAAAGAATAAATTGTACTTTGTAAGCCAAATTCTATCCTTTCTACTATAAAAACGAGTGCAGATGAACAGATATATATATAAGCAAAATTAAACTGTAGAAAGGAAATTTAAAAAGAAAATGGGGCAATAACGAGATAAAGAGAAGAAAAATACAATCATATGTTCAATGAGAGACTGGAAAGAAATGGATAAAAAATCGAGAAAAAATGTAGGTGTGTTTTAAGATAACATCAGAGAACGGATGTGGACAGAGAGAAGAACGGATCTACAGATCATTGAAAAGAAAACAGAAGAACTAAGATGTGAAAATGTAGGGTGTGAAAAAATAATGGGAGAAATGGTAATTTAAAAGAACTGGTCTAACAGTGGCCTTAAGAACAGATTTCAAAAAACTCAAATGAATTTAGATTATGATAGAAAACAAAACTTCTAATAATTGGTAAATATTTCCATGTTAGTACGGAAATTTAAAATGATGCTGAAAATTACAAATGCACTAGAAATTTAGAATGTTCAACCCATAATTTTCTTATGTGATTATTTTAGTGTCTACTTCCCAACAAACATAAAAGCTGCACAAAAATAATAAATATTTTATTCAATAACATCATAGTAACATATAGTAATATTTTAATGGAATATAAAAATCTTGTAAAGTGCTGATAAATGAAATTCAAACATGTTTAATCACTTAATTAGAAACTATAATGTCAGATTAGTAATGCTCAAAGTACTCTGTAACAATTAGCGAACAACACCAGATGCCAGAGAATAGGTCATGTGAAACAGAGACATGAATAAATGGAACAAATGAGCAAAGTTTACAAAAATAATGCGTGTGTGATTTACAGTTGCTCTGGGAGGTGATAACAGCAGGCCCTAAGCAAACAGTATGGTATCTTCCTGCACAGAACACTCTAGTTCGTAACAAAGTAAAGGGGCTTATTTAACTCCAGCATCATGGCTAAAGAGGGTAAGTCACATAATTTTAAATAATATATTTTTCTATTAAATTAAATATTAAATTAATGATAACATATTAGACCTCAAAACAATATTAATATCAATTCTCGATATAATTGTGGGTTTATATAATTTAATTTGATAGCTAAACAGTTTGTATTCAATTACTGGATATACCAACACATTAATTTCCCACATCATTTGCTTTCAGAATGGCTCTCTAAAAGAAATATTTTGTGGTTTCTTGTATTCTTTGGCTTTGCAGTCAATTACATGATACGTGTAAATCTTAATATTGCTATAGTCTCGATGGTGAAACGAACACACAAAAATGTTTCATTAACAAGTGAGTGTTTGGAAGAAACATTCATGTTCAATAATGTAAATATGACTGCACAAGTTACATCAAATGATAAGGTCAGTTATCCAATACACATTCATGTCAAAAATTATGTCTCCATATTTTGATAATTAATTAATAACAATTTCATTTTGAAGCCCAAATACATGTGGGATGAAACCCAACAAGCACATGTTTTAGGAGGATTTTTTTGGCTTCACTGGGTCACGCAAGTGCCTGGAGGCATCCTTGCAAAACAATATGGCACAAAATTAATATTTGGACTCAGCAATTTTCTTTCCTGTTTATTAGCAATCCTTATACCATTCTGTGCAGATCTGGGTTATCAAGCAATTGTCTTTCTCAGAATTATTCAAGGACTAGTAGCAGTAAGTAATGTAGCTTCAATAAGTGCACGTTTTGTTAAATTCTTCTTTTGCATGTAATGGTAGGCGTAGAGGTATGGGCGAGTTACTTTTTTGTTTTGAAAAATTAAACCTGCAATTTATTTACCGATGCAAACATGTTTTCTATAACTGGGGAACAAAAATGTCTAAATATTTTCAAATATCGCAAATCTCACGCTTTTTTAAAATTTATTTTTCTTTATTTATTTATTTTAAACTTTTACTCATCTTCCAACTATTTATAGTTAAAATGATGGGAAGGGATTCTGGAACTCAGAAAAATGCGTGCAGATGATCTTCTACCCCATACATCACATTCAGTTTTTACTGTTCTTTTGACTAAATAAGTCTAAGTAAGTTTATTCTGTGAATTGGTATTGAATTTCACTGTGAAAGATTTTTCAACCAAAAATAAAAATGTGTCATTAAAGATCATGATTAGGGGGTGGATTTTGTTGACCTAAAACATCACCAAAAATAATCCATAAAATGCTCTTAAAATGTTTTTAAAATGCCCTAAAAGCAATGAAAAATGAAGTTAAAAAAATTTGATCAAAACTGGTTCAGAAAAACTTGTCAAGTTTTGGATAATGTTGCAGAGTAATCAAGGCTTCTTCCTTTTGTTCAAGTGAAGTCAACTAGTCAACTTTTAGTTTGGACAGGACTTCACCAGGAAATATCGTCAATCTCAATTAGTTATTCCAAATTGGCTGACCTGACAATGGCACTGATAGGCATCACAGAAACCTTAAATTACATACTTACAACAGCTGACATTATGACATTCCAATTTCTGAGTGAAGGAATAGAATACGCTACTGAGTACTAGTGTGGAGAACATTTGTTGCATCTGGTAAACATTGTTTGTAGCAAATACCATTAACATGATATTAAAATCAATGAAGTTAGTGAAAAATGATTTATAAGCAATGGAAAAAGATGAAAAATGACTTATAAGACAATCGATGAAAAATCCCTTTAAAAATGGGCAATTTGCTTTTGTCATAATTTAAAATTAACGTCTGTACTAAAAGGCATTGTTCTAAAGTGAAAAGGAGAAAAATGGCATTACATTAAAATCTGCCCCCTAATCATGATCATCTAATTACTTTCTCCAATTTCTCAGCAATATGTAAATCATGTGTTAAGATGATCACCCTTTTGATTTTTAATATCTATTGTTTTCTCCAACCACATTGACTCTTCCACACCAACAGAAATAAAATATGTTAATTGTGTGATATTTAATCATTTCAAGGGACTTGCCTGGCCGTCAATGCATAATATGGCAGCTAATTGGATTCCTCCAAATGAAAGAAGCAGATTTGTGTCAGCTTATCTTGGTTAGTTTGTAAGCACATGTGAACCAAATGAATATATCCTTGTTCTTCTAAAATATTCCTCTTCAAATAACTCTCTGTGTTAGATAGGTAGTTCCGTGGGAGCTGCACTTACTTTCCCAATGTGTGGCTACCTAATAGAGTGGTTTGACTGGCCCTCAGTATTTTATGCCACTGGAGTAATTGGAACAATCTGGTTTTTGTGTTGGTGGTTTTTGGTTTATGATACTCCAGCGAAACATCCATATATATCTGAAAAAGAAAGAGTTTATATTGAAAATTGTATTGGTGATAATGTTACAGAGAAGAAGGTAAATGAACTTATTTTGGAAGTCAAGAACACAAGTGCTTCAAATTTCCTTGCTTCTATTCAACATTTTTCAGCTTAAAACACCATGGTTGCAAATTTTGTTGTCAAGATCTGTATGGATGAACATTTTAGCTCAATGGGGAGGAATTTGGGGTTTATTTACCCTTCTGACTCAAGCTCCAACATATTTCAATAACATACATGGAATGAGTGTTCGCAAGGTATGTAGTATTTAGAATAAAATTCAATGTCCTTAAATTTTACATTTGCATCAAACTGTGTCTTCTTTTGTTGAAACCAAATATCTAGTAATTATTACAATATTTATCTCTATTATGACTTTGTAGACAGGAATATTGTCTGGAGCTCCTCATGTATGCAGAGTGTTGTTTGCTGTTCTGTTTTCTGTTTTCGGAGATACTTTACTGAGAAAGAAAATTATGTCTAGAACTTGGGTTCGAAAGTTTGCAACTTCTGTATGTAAGTCATCCATACTGAAACATATCTATTATAGCTGAAATTTTCATAGCCATTGTTATAACAATGTTATCCAGAACATGAAAAAATTGCTTCAACCTATCTTTGTAATTGAGATTAGGAAAAAAAACAATAATTTGAAATGTAAATCTTAAATCATTTGGAACATTCATTCTGTTTGAAACAGGTACAATAGTACATGGATTATTTATCATGGGTCTGGCATTTTCTGGATGCAATTCCTTCGCAGCTGTTGTATGTTTAATGCTGGCAGTTGGAGCTAGTGGAGCTGTGTCTACAGGTCCATTAGCCAGCCTTGTTGACATTGGACCCAACTTTGCTAGTAAGTTTGTGAACTCTCAGAGTGAAATTGTTCACATAATGAATAGTAAAATAAGGAATACCTTCATTTAAAAAAATATTTTACACAAATTTGACTCAATTTTCAGGTATAATTTTAGGAATCAGTAATATGATCACAGTTGTACCAGGATTTATTTCACCAATCATTGTTGGATATCTCACCTTTCAAAATGTAAGTTGAATTTAATTCATTGAAATGCATAAAATATGTAAAAATTTGTATCAAAATGAGTTTCATACCTTTCATATTGAAAAAGCAATGGAACATACAAGTTACTTCATACACGACAATCATCAATATAATGTACCACTAAAAAATTAGTGCATTTCTTGAAAAATTTCTTTTCATACCATATATAGTGCAAGCATGCAAGGAAGATATAACTTTTGATCTCATTCTGATTGTAGCAAACCACAACACAATGGCAGATGGTGTTCATTATTTCTGCTCTAATGATGATTGTGCCTGGCATACTCTACTTACTGTTAGCTTCTTCTGAGGTTCAGCCTTGGAATTTCCCAGAGCCTGTCACACAAGACTATAAAATGAAAGTTGTGCCAGCAGATAGGACTACAGATGATGCAGGAATAGGAGAGGAACAAATGAGGCTTCATAATGAAGACAGAGAAGAATCAGTTAATGACCAGAATACAGAGAAAGAAGCACATTTATTAAGCAAGAATTGATTTTGTTTAAATGGTGTAAATAATAAAAAGGAGGCTAAAATCAAATGTGTAATAGCTACCAAAGTAAAAAATGAAGATAGATTTTCAGATATGTTTTCCTTGTCTCGATTTATATAAATATTAAAAAACTCTGTAACTGATACAATGCAAAAAACAAAAACAAAACGAAACGGAGAACTAGAGAAGAGCCAAATTAATTTGTGCATGTTAATGAAAGCTCATCAACTAAAATTGGAAATCCTCATATAAAGTTTACAGTAAATGACAGATTTCAATTTATAGGATAGGATAGAAAGGATATAATTTTTTTTTTTTGGTCAGCATTAGTTCAGAATGACTTTTAGCACCCCTTAGCCTATTAACCAGTATTATAACAACTTAAAAACTAGGTAACTGATCACAAAGCAACATTTCTTAGTATTGAGAAAACTATAGTCATGTTCTGAAGCCATTGATAATTTTGGGGAAGGATAAAGGTAACCAAAGAGTTACAGGGTTTCTGAGCAAAAGAGTATGGCATGTTTAAGGGATATTTCATAACAAAAATACATGTAGACTGAAAATGTTCAAAATAACAAAATTATCTAAGCAAAATTGCATTTTGACTTCTTAGAGAGAGCAACAACTGAAATTTTATGTAGAATTACTGAAAATGCTCATAGTTATTTTCAATTAATGTGAAAAGATTTAAAAGTTTCAGAAATTTTATTACAAATGCCCAGATCGTGTTCAAACAATGAATTATTATAATAACACATTATAAATATGGATGTAATGATATGGGCATGATCAACAATAGTGACTAGTGTCAATACAGTTAGATTTACTTATTACATCAATAATCTAGAAACTGTTTTAACAATTATTACAAACTGCCATTAATATTTATATAATCTTTTATTTTCAAAGTTTAAATATTCAATGTGTATTTATCATTTACTTTAAGAAATGTAAATCTCTTTTATTCACATTACAAATCTGAGATCAGTGTCATAACAAGAGTTATTATGATACAAGTGAAAAGAATAGACAAACGTCTTCTACCACGGATGTCATTAACCTATAGACCAAATAGCACGAGGGATAGTGGCAGACTGACAAGAAGATGGCACCAGCAGGAAAATGAAGGAATACTGCTTTACTACCCACTAACAGGACAGGAGCACTGTTCCTAAAACGAGGGTGGTGTTGATGATGATGATGATGATGATGATACAAGTGTTCTAACACTCCATAGCTCACTATGAACAACAGTGATCAGTTTCATAATGTAAGTAGATAATCCAACCATTCTAACAATTAATGATCACCAATTCATTACTATCAACGTAAATCTGTCCTCTTTCACAGGATGATTTTCAAATTTAATCAGAAATCATTTCACAGTGGAATGTTTACAAAGTAGTTACATTATTATCTCTATTATTGTGACTTCAAAAAAAAATTTTTTTTCTAGTGATAATTCAAATGCAAGTTTCTCCTGAAACTATTCTGAGGTTTCTTGCTGGTACCTTAAGGTCAATTGCCTTAAGTTTAATGTACTGGGAAATTTTCCATAGCTATAACACATTCTACAGTACTATGTCAAAGATAATATGTAATACATTTTTTCTGTCATTTCTTTACTGATTCATCACAACAAATTGTGAGTGTCTGCAAAGAGCCTCACAATATATATTTGCACTGGACTATTTCTGTGTAGTCAAGATTTATTGTAGTTTCATTTTTCATTTAATGAGCATTTTCAGTCTTTTAGCTCAAAATATATAAAAATAATGTAGGGAAATAAAGGACACTGACCATACCAAAAGCAAAATAGTTGAATGAAAAAAATCTATGTTTTAATATTCCAAACAAAACTTGCATGCCATCATAAGTACCATATTTTGTTGTACTTTCATAATGTACCTGTCCCTGATATTGTGTTTATGATATCAGTCATCTTTGTTTCACTTGGAAGGCTTGTGCTTTATTATTGTTGCAGCTCTTTTCTTATTAAATAATATGTACACTTATTACTTCATCATCTTCCAATGTTCCTCATAATTGGAAAAAATAATTATTTCCTTTCTGCAGTATACAGGTGAGTGATTTCAGATGGAAAAAGAAAAATACCATCTTCTCCTCAAAACAAATGTATGTATTGTCATTTTGTGGAGAAAAAGTGTTTCTGCACAGCAGTTTCTTGATTTCTCTTTGTCATCCAGAGGATTGTGCTTATACACAAAACTGAGGGTATTTTTAAGTATTGGCAAAGAAAAATTACCTGTTTCAAATACATAAGATGAAAAATGAAAATTTGTGAGTTGACAAAGTTGGAATTTCACAAGTGACCCTGCAATTGTGCCCGAGTTTATCTGTCAGAACCTTAGCTCCCCAGCTGGCAACTTTGCCACTTTTTGAAAATAATGTTATATCTTCTCTGCCATGTTCCGCATTCAACAGAGATGACATTGACTTCATTGTACAGACAAGACATTGAAGAACACTTTACAGCCTTATCACTTGTTTACACAACTTAACACTTACACTTTTTAGTAGTCTACAAAAATTTCTTGCCCTACAGATTCATTAAAACTTAAAATAAAAACTACTTTGTATAATTCAGAATATGATTCCCTTAAATATCCACTTTTTGTAGTTAATTTTATGTTGTATTTAGACATATTGTCACTTGGCCATGTTGCATCAGCAAACTTGATGAAAATGGAGCAACTTAATCACCCTAGAATTTTATTTTTTTCAAATTCCTGTATAAGGTTTTTTCAAATTGTGCATTTTTCTTCTTTGTGCATTATAGTTTCATTTTATTATGTTTTATCATACATTAAGGTTTGAGTTTTTTTTTCATATTTTTATTACATTATTAACTACAAACTAATTGTTTAATTTTACCAGAAATATATAAAAGTATTTATATAATAGATATTGACCATTTTTATAAACACAAAATCATTTGTTATAAAAGTCTAATAATCTTACCTCCACTAATAATTTCAATATATGTAGTGTGTCCATACATAATTCATTACATGGAAAAGTACTTAAACCTTAAGTAGTTGCGTGTAGACTATATGCGTTCTCAAACCATTTGCGATAAAATAAAATAGTACAGTCCTACTGTTCTGGAAATTACAGTACCTTCCAACAGCTTGTTTACCTCCCCTCTGGAGAAGAAAATCTGTAGTACATGTTAAAGTCTTTAAAAGAATGCATTCTTTGTGATGGGAAATTCCTCCAATCACAATGTGCCATCAGATTCATCCGTGATGTAATATAAAATTGAATTATTTGTGACACTTATGAACAATAAGAGGCTAATGACAAGAATATTTATTGAAAAATAGTATTACTGTTTAGGTTTTTCATACATATATAAAAAAGTAACAATGTAGTGGTTATCATATGTAAGGTAATAAAAGATTTCCTTTTAGATTATATTTGAAACAATTAAAATGAGTTTATAAATTTATTTAAGGAAATTTAATGTTACGAAGAATAAATTGCAGAGCGACAATAATTGTTAATAATACTGGGAACAAAAGACTGCTAATGGGACGAAATGGCACATGACTTCTGAAAGGTTAATAATAAAAACTCTTGTAAAATGAAAAATCCAGTTAAAATTTTTAAAATATGATTTAAATTTTAAAAACCATTTTCCTCATTTTAAAATAATATCTTTTCCAACTGTGTAAGGTGTTTTCATTGGTTAAAGATCCTTTTTCTTATTGTGCTTTTGGGGTGTACACTTGGTTTTAAAAGTGAAGTAGTTAGCATAGTTGGCACAGTTACCCCCTTTCCAGAAAAATGCCATTTTTTTTATTCATATTAAATTGACAGTCAATGTGTATGGTTTCTGACCTAAATGGCTAACAGGCCTAAATAATTTAGTAATGGGTGAGGATAGGACAAGGAAGAGGAAAGAAATATCACGTAAGACCCAATTGTTAGAGTACTGCTCTTGATCATAATTGGTTGTTTCCGGGTTTGTTTTTGTTTACATTGTATGTTACTGTTCTTGAGTTTGTCTAGTGTAGATTGGAGCAACCACACAAAATAAACCAATCAGAGCAGATGGCTGCTATAATTCTCCTCTGGACAGTGTCTAATTTCAACCTAGCTATCTAGCTAATGTCAAAATTGATGACACAATTAGTACTCAAACCCTAAAACCTCCCAGTCAGAGGCACTGCAGTTGACATCAATTGATGCCCTGAGCCACCTATGCTGATACATGCATAGAAGGAATCTGTATAAACACAAAAATAACCTTCATAAAAAATATAACTTACTAATAAATCACTGAATTGATTAGTACAATGCCACACAATTTTTCGATACAGTATCATTCTTTATTAATATTTAAAAAGAAATGGCTCTTAAAAATGTTGCTTTTTATCTCTTACAAGCCATTTTCAGATAAAATGTGGCCATAAAAGTTATTTTAAGATGAAATTGTACATTATAGAAACATTAGAAGAAAACTTCCAATGTCCTAAATTTCCATATCCCTTTAGGAATCTATTTTGTTAAATTTTCTGTAATCATTAATAGTACATTAATTTTATAAAAGGGAAATTTTCCATTCAAATTTAAAAATGTGTTTAAACAATTACTGTGTACTTTAAAGGTTGTACAAAGGTCAAGAAAGCAGAGCATTTTTTAAAATGAACAAACATAAAAATATTGTCTAAAAATTCTTAATTAAGTATGTTAGTTTGAAAGATAATCTTGCAATACTCTTCACACAAATATACTGTACTTTGAACATATAGGCTGGGAAAGCCTTGCAATGAAAGAAATGTCCAACAAGGATAGTAAATTTTTATTAGATTATCTAACCAATTCAAAATTTAGATTTGCTACTCTTGAAGCTGGCATACAAAGTTGATTATATGAATACAGAGAACAAAATCATTTAGCTGTTCTGTTAATTTTCCTTGAGCATTGTAATGTTGACAACTAACTGACCTAGATTACGTTCTATCAAATAGTATAAAAATATAATAAATATTAAGAACTATCAAGAAGAGGATGTAGCCTTCTCTAATGCTTAACCATTTTAAAAAGAATTCACAAATATATTGAAGTAATGTAAAATAAACACACTGTACTATCTATTGGGCAAAACATTTCTCCTCAAGTTATCCTCAATAAGAAAAGACAATCACCGATACTTTTCAGACAATTCCACTGTAAGGGAATTAAATGTTCAAGGGTTTTGTGAGCTCTTAATCTAAATGGCAACAGACTTTCGGGCTGTCCATAAATTACATTATGCAAATTTGAGGTATTTTGAATGCCTCCTCTCCCTGCTGTAATGCACCCCTAATGCCCACTTGAACCCCCTTAAATAATTATGTAACGTTTTCGATGCCCCCATTCATAAATGCGAGAGATGAAAATAAATTAAAGCATAGTAAAAAAAAAGTTGTTTGTTTTAATTTTGTATTAAAATTAATGATCATTAAACTAGAATTTAGGATGCTGATTGCACCTAACAAAAAAGATTGGAAGCAAATTATGAGTAAAGGATGGATGCATAGATGAAAAAATGTTTGATGATGCACAAGCTGTGCACATGCCATAATTAGTTAATATTTTAGTGTTTTAGTACAATACTGAAAAAAAGGAAGAT